GGGTTGAGAGGGATGACCAGGAGTTTAGCTGAGCATTTTTTATTGATATTTAATTCTGCTTAAAATACCAGTAATGAGTTGGAATCGACTCAATGGCAGTGGGTTTGGTTTTTTGGGTTAAGGAGCCCTGGTGGTGCAAACAGTTAAGCACCTGGCTGCTAACCAAAAGGTTGGTGGTTCGAACCCACCCAGAGGCTCCATGGGAGAAAGACCTGGTGAGCTGCTTCTGTGAAGATTAAAAAAAAAAGTCCTTTTCTGTCAAGCCGATTCCGACTCAGCTACCCTATAGGACAGAGGAGAACTGCCCCACAGAGTTTCCAAGGAGCGGCTGATAGATTCAGACTGCTGACCTTTTGGTTAACAGCTGAGCTTTTAACCCCTGTGCCACCAGGGCTACAGCCAAGAGGACCCATGGGGCAGTTGTACTCTGTCCCTAGGGGCGGCGACGTGTCGAAGTCAACTTGACAGAACAGCAGACGCTATGACAGCAAGAATGGCGGTTTCTCGTTCTTAGAGACGCGTTCACACTACCAAAGCCACGACTTACTCGGGACGAATAACCATTGTTAGGGGATACGTGCTGGGATGTCAAATGAGGTTTTTGTAAAAGGTGTTCCTACCTATAATTCGACTCAAAGACCTGTACCAGTGATTCTCAAAGCTTAGCCTGCTAAAGAATCACTTGTAGTGCTTATTATAAACGCAGATTTCCAAACCATTGTCCCCCACGCTCATCCAGATTATGACTCAGTAATTTTAAGGTAAGGAGCCCTTGTGGTGCAATGGTTAAGCACTTGACTGCTAACCAAAAGGTCAGCAGTTCAAAGCCGCCAGCAACTCCACGGGAGAAAGTCCTGGTGATCTGCTCCTGTAAAGACTACAGCCTAGAAAACCCTATGGGGCAGTTCTACTCTGTCCTGTAGGGTGGCTATGTGTTGGAACTGACTCCAGGGCGCATAGCAACAACAAGGTTTTAAGGTAAACTCCAGGAATCTGCGTCTTGCTAAGCCAGGTGGTTCTGATGCCAGCAGTTCAGGAAGCGTGCGCTGGCAGCACTGTGTCCTTTTTTTTTTTTGTTCCTTTATTTCTTACTTGTGTCATTATAGGCAAAAATGAATGGCAACACTTTTGTAATTAACTTCATAGTTGTTCAGCTATTTTGTAAATTATGCAAAATTTTAATTCCAAGACTGTTTCTATCTTATTGCTTGTGTGAGCCATAGTCCCCCAATATCACTTAGTGTGCACCTGAGTCCTTTTGAAAAGTATGATTTCTCTAAGACTTAACTCATTGCTGTCAAGTCGATTCCGACTCATAGTGACGCTATAGCTCTGATTTTCATAGTGTTTCAAATTTTACAAAGCATTTTTCACATTAACCCACAGTCTCATTGATTTTAAACAAATGTATCCATACCTTAGTGCCACTCCAATCATGTAGGTTATTGTTGTTAGGTGCCATCGAGTTGTTCCGGCTCATAGTGACCCTGTGTCCAGCAGAAGGAAACACTGCCCGTCCTGCGCCATCCTCATAACCGTGGCTGTGCTTGAGCCCACTGTTGCAGCCACCATGACCCTCCATCTCATTGAGGGTTCCTTCCTCTTTTTTGCTGACCCTCTGCTTTACAAAGCATGATGTCCTTCTCCAGGGACTGGTCCCTCCTGATAACATGCCCAAAGTATGGGCAATGAAGTCTCACCATCCTTGCTTCTAATGACCGTTCTGGCTATACTTCTTTTTTTTTTTTTGCAAGACCAACAATGTAGATTATTGGAAATTGATTATTTAAAAACCATGGATTGCTTTCTTTAGCCTACATAATCATACTGGTATCACTTTTATCTCCATCCAATTCATTTTCTTAATATCTGAGGCACTGGATTAGTACCAGAGTTCCCTGTCCTTCCAGTAAAAAAAAAAAATAATTGCCATTGGGTCGATTCTAACTCCTGATGATCCTATGTGTGTCAGATTAGAACTGTGCTCCATTGGGTTTTCAATAGCTGATTTTTCAAAAGTAGATGGCCAGGCCTTTCTTCTGAGGCACCTGTGGGTGTACTCTAACCTTCGACTTTTCAGTTAGCAGCTGAGTGCGTTAACCATTTGCACCACCTGTCCTTAAAAGCAATCAAACAAACAAAAAACCAGTTAGGCCCTGCTCAAACACACACACACACACACACACACACACACACACACACACACACACA